ACATATTTATTAAATGAAAGGACATATTAATGTTATTTACCTAGGTGAGATAATACAACTGTTTACCTCAGACAGCCCCTCTTTAACCTGTTATTCTGATATAAATATTAATAGCACCTTTTTTAACTTGCAAAAATGATTTGGATAACTTATATTGCTAACTTATCTAGGCAGTGGGCAATTCTCATCAAGTGTGAAACATGATGAGATGTATTAAAAAGTAGACTGTAGCAGTAAAATAACAATAAATAAAATGACTCAAGTACAATAGTCAAAGGTAAAATGATGTAAGGGCCTGAACTAGGGTAGCAGAGCACGGGAAAAAAAGGTAGAAAGAGATTCAGGACATAAAATCAACAAGGTTTAGTGGCCAGTTGGACAGAGAGAAGATTATCACGGAGAATCAAGAGTCGAAACATGAATTTCTAGCCTGAGCAACTGGGGCAGTCACCAACAGAATATTTTTTTTTTTTTAAGATTTTATTTATTTATTTGAGAGAGAGAATGAGAGAGAGCACATGAGGGGGGAGGGTCAGAGGGAGAAGCAGACTCCCTGCCGAGCAGGGAGCCCGATGCGGGACTCGATCCAGGGACTCCAGGATCATGACCTGAGCCGAAGGCAGTCGCTTAACCAACTCAGCCACCCAGGCGCCCACCAACAGAATATTAAGAGGGAATGATGAAGCTTCAATTTAGGACTACTGATTAAAGAACCTGGAGGACAATTTAATGGATGTATGGATCCAAAGCACATGAAAGGGGGTAAGAAGGACCAGGTGTCAGCCTATAAATATTAACTGAAGCCAAGTTGCTGAATGAGGCTTCCCAGGAAGTACAAAATCAACAGTTCTATCGATAAAAACTATTACCTTTTTAACAGGAGGACTATACAAAATGAATTCTAAATTTTGTTTTAACACATTTATTCATTATTTAGTACATGCAAAGCATGATATTAAACACTTATGGAAATAAACCCCAAGAGTTAAGATAAGGAGCTCACTCTGAGGTAAAAAAAAGAAAGGTTATTGACAAAGAATGGTGTTGCATATGGACTGAGTTGAGGAAGGGCCAAATTCAAGACCTTAATTTTGACTGTACTATCTTTAATTTTGCTAGAAGGACTCAAAATGAGTACCTTACACCTTTCATTGATATAGAGCACTTAGCTTCGCAGAGTACTTAAGTCTAAAATTTTCCACGTAAAAAAAAATCTTTGTGAAGTGGAAAAGGAAATCAGAGAACTAGCTCAGGAAAGACAATGGGCTATGTAGCTGGAACTACGAAGTAGGAGAAATAGCAAGAAAGTAAAAACTGTGTTAGAACACAATTCTAAGTGGTATATTGTACAAAACGTTTCCACATTCCATGTCTGGCTCACTAAGATTAAGTCTGAGATGATAATTTCACGTAAGGGCAACAAATGGCTCAAAATAAAGAGACTATTAGTTTTGTCCCAGAAACAAATAGAAGATCTCTATACTCATTACACACTGCAAACATATTACAAGATTATAAGACAGTGATTCTTACCTATTTGCCTATTTTTTCATAATGCTTTGCACCCACTAAGCATTCAAGAAAAAATAAGTTGAATGTATTTTATCCCCTTCTATTACACACTTTATTCGTTTGGCTTTTCTTCTCCTGCACTGTTTCTCCCACTCATTCTCTTTTGCTGGTCTCTGCTCTTCTCCCCTGATGTTGTAGTAATCAAGGGTGCCATGGGGCTGTCTGTAGTCCTCTTCTCTTCTCTGTGTACACTCACCGCCTTGGTAATTTCATCTAGTCTCATGACTTGAAACAGTATCTACTAGCGAATGAAAATAAAATATATAATATATATAATACATAACATAATATATAAAATATAAAAAATCTCCAGCCCAGCCCTCTCTATAGAAATACAAATTTGTATACGCAACTCCTTACTCAACATTTCTAACAGGACATTTCAAACTTAACATTTTCAAAACTGAATTCCTGATCTTCTCTCCCAAAACCTACTCCTCCAGCAGCTTTCCCCATCTCTGACACCAGCTGAAACTCTTTGATGGTAACTCCAATACCGATTTTCAGGCCAAAAACCTTGAAACCCTGCTCGATGCTTTTCTTTCCCCCAAAGCACATGGTTAATTCATTAGCAAATTCCGTTGGCTAAACCTTCAAAATATTTCTGTAATTGATTACTTCTTGCCACCTGCCTTATTATCACTTCAGTCTGAGTTACAATCAGCTCTGCCCGACTTCCAACATGATAGCCTCTAACTGACGTGTTTGCTTCTTTCTACCCTTGCTCCCATATAGTCTATTTTCAACCCAGCAAGCAACCAGGGGGCTCTTTAAAAAGTTAAGTAGGATAATATCACCCCTCTGCTTCAAAATCCTCTGGTACCCCTCTCCCTTTCACACAAAATAAAAGTTAAGGAATTTCCAATGACTTACAAAGACTTTAATGATACACCCCCTCCTACACTACTATTATTGTCTAACTTCATCTCTTACAATTCTCACCCTTGTTTACTCTCCTCCAGTCACTAACAGCTCCTTGCTATTCCTTGAATGCACCAGACATACCTCATCTTGAAGTGCAATGACTATTCCCTCTATTTCAAAAGCTCTTTCCCCATGTATCTCCAGAGCTAATTCCCTCACATGCATCAAACCTTCAATCAAAAGTCATCTTCTCAGAAATCACAACACTGACCATCTTATTTAAACTGCAACCCAGCCCTTGCCCCATGCTTCCAATCCCTTTATTCTTCCTTAAATTAGCCATTATCACATATTATTTAACTTACTCGATTGTATTTTTCCCGTCTCCTCCCTTGCCCCTTCCATTAGAATTGTAAGCACCAGTAGGGCATGCCTGTTTAGTTCACTGATACATACCAGTGCACAGAATAGTGCCTTGAATTTGTAAGATTTCAGTAAGTGTTAAATGAAAATATTTATAATAAAATTTTAAGAGTCCACTAAAAGAATAAAGATCTCCTGAAAAGAGAAACGTAATTTGATGAAATTCTCAAAAATAAATCATCACTTGAATTTAGGTTACCATTTCTTTAGTCATACTTTTGTACTGCAAACAAATTCTATATTCACTCAAAAGCACTGCCAATAAATCAAGCAGTTACCATGTTATGTCAGGATTGTAGACTGTACTGTGGGCAGTTGGTCAGCATTCCCTTAAACAATGCTGCTGTTCCAGTAAGACAAGATAAAATACTTAACGCGGCACACACCGGCCAACATAATTTTCTGAATAGTTTAGAAAATCTTCTAAAACCAAAAAAGAAAAAAGAAAAAAGAAAAAAGGAAGAAAGAAAATCCCCTAAGGCTCAAAATAGGCCATTCCAAAGAAGCTAATTATGCTACTAAAGTAAGATTTTCCCATTAAAACGTGAATTTATCATAAATAATATTTAAAAGTAAAACCTACATTATAGATTGCAAGACATGCATAATCATTTCTAATTATATAAAAACTATAGCAGATTCACCCGTGTGAAGGTGAAGGCTTTCAATTAGCTCACAATGACTTCAAGAATCATCACAGGGAAATTAAAACACATGGGATAATAAATGTAGGTCTCAAAATGAGGACTCTGGAAAGTGGCATAATTTGCCTTGTTTTCATTTAAAGATAAGGATCCCCAAAAAGTTTGACTTATCACAGCTACAGTTACACCTTGACTAATGTCATATCACAAAAGTTACTGAGATCCACTATGCAAAGCAGTATAAATCTCAAAAAAACCTCAAAGTGGCTTAAGAACTAGCCAAAACATTTAATTTCATTTATTGCAACCATATACATGACAATCTAACAATCCCTTCACACTATTATTGCTTTTTGGTTTAAGAAATATACCACTTATTACAGAAACTACTGCAAATCAAGGAAAACCTCCCACAAAATCTAAGCACTCTATAGGGCTATGCAAAATTACAAGGTTTCAGTTATGTGACTGAAAATCAGCATAGAGGTCAAATGAAAATCATTTAAGCTGATGCCACTGATGCTAACCCAACAGAGCAAATTTTGGATCCAAGCACAAAATACTGAAAAATTTCCCGCTGACAGTCTGAGAAAGTACCAACCAGAACCACCAGATCTTTAAATATGCATCATCCACCACCAGAATTCATCACCTGACTAGATGCAAAGTTTTAAGCTGATTTTGAAAACTTTCTTTTCTAGGTAAGGTCTCTGAAGGGACCTTTGAAGAGAAGTTACTTTTCGAGAATTTGACTACTAACAATTTCTACCTTGTTTTTCTACCTAGGGACACTCTCACTCCGAGACCCACATTTTGCCCTGAGAAGATACGATTTTGTTATGGTGTCTTCTTATCGAAAACACTAGGAAGTTACCGGCAAAGACGGGTGTGCGGGAAGATTACACCTCAAGCAGGAAAGGCGGTCATCACCCCGGCGAGAAGGGCCTTGGGGGGGGGGGAGGGGGGAACGCAGAAAACAGATATACTGGCAGCAGGTGCGAGGCTCCAGCAAGGGGACAGTCGCCGCAGCTTTCGGACCGACAGGAGGATGCTGTCCGTTGGACAGTGGGACGCGCGCTAGCGTCGGCCAGCCTTACCTCGGGGGTCCGCTCGGGAGGCTTCTTCTTCAGCGCCTGCCTAGCGCCGGGGTCCACGGGTGAGTTCATGGCTGCGGCGCCGGCCCCCCTGCCCCCCAGCCTGCCCTTAGCAGTCCACGAGACAGCACATTCACCTTAGGTAGGGGGTCTGCACCCTCCACCCCCGAGGTAAAGAACTCCTGACCGCCCCAGGGTCAGCGCTCGAGCAAACAAGCCTTCGCAACGCCCGCCCAGGGCCTCAGCCCACGCGCGACTGGCCAGAGGGAAGCCCGCACGGGGGCGGAAGGAGGGCGGATGCGCATGCGCAGCAGGGCGAGCACGCAAACGAGCGCCCAAGGGCGTGTCTCCGCGGTGACGTAAAAACTGGGGCGGTGCAGTTAGGCCTCTTCCGACTCTTCTTCGTGAGATTTGAAGACACGTCGCGAGATCTCACCTGAACCAGTCACGGGATCCGCCTCGGATTTGCGGTTTCGGCCGTTCCAACTTCCGGTGCAGGGACCGGAAACGCGCTGCGAGGGACTGAGCAAAAATAGCCTGTTGGGGCCAAACCGTAAGGGTAAGTGTTTTGGGGGGAGGGTTCTGTTTGTGCCCTAGTCCGGAAGCTCAGGGTGTGGCCAGACTTGGGGCTAAACTCCAGTTCTGCAACGCTGACACCCCTTCCTTGGAGAAAGTGCAGGAATCGTCGCTGCCGTTTCGCGAACGAGGAAGTTCACTGACTCTTCCCTGCGTCTCTTTTAATAAAACGAAATCTTTTGTGGAAGGAGGCCGTCAGAAAGTACTTGCCCTGTCCATTACGGACGTACTGAGATCGGGGCAGAGAAAGTGTCGCGGCCTTGAGCAGGAATTGGGCGCTGGTCCTGAGGGCAGCTCCCAGTTAGTGCTGGTTCGCGAAGTCAGGTGTGTACTTACTCACATAACCAATGCCCAGGCAGCCCTCGCTCAGCTCAGCCCTTTCCTGGGGCCGGGGGCGGGGGGAGGATTTAGGGCCGCCTGGACTCAGGAGTGACCAGTTTCGCACTACATTTTATATACTAGCCTGTTTCCTAACAGAGCGAATAAAGCCAATTTCCATTTATTTACTGGTCCCTTGGTAAGAAAAACAGACCGCACCTGCAGATTAGGTTTTCACTGTGAGAAGACTGATAGAATTCCAGAACCCATTCGTTCTAGAACAGTATTTTTCACTGCCGTCCCTTTAGCGCATTGATGGGCCGCACTGGTCTCAAATTCCTTAATTGGTAGCCATCATAGGCATGTTCTTTTTAATGAATTTTAAGTTTCCTGAGATTTGTATGCCACGTCTAGGTACATCTTAGTATTTCTCACAGCAGTTAGCATAGTTCACTCAATAATTAAAAGAGATTTATGATTATGACGTTATTCAGTTTTCTAATGACGTGCTAAGAATTAAAATATTTTAGAGTAACAAAAGGGAAAGGAGAATTCAGGCTGCAACATTTACATTTCTGGAATCTGGTAATGATGAGTGATATTAATAGTTTTGTTTTCTGTTGGTCGTTGGGCTTGCCCAAACGAAGTTTTCAACATAATATTAGCACATTTCTTTTTTGAATATAGGTAAAAAACCCTACCAAGGAAGTTGTGGCTCAGCCATTCTGGAAATAAAGTAATTGTGGAGAGATCACAAGGAATTGCAGTGACCCATTTTCGTCATTTTTTTGTGTGTATAAACATCCTCTCAAAGATCTGCCAAGGATCACAAACATTAGCCCTTCCATTCTTCAAGGATCATTTTCTAGGGCCACATAAATATTTGAAAGGGGGGTAAGGAATTAAAGCATGACAACCATGAGCTTAGACCTTACAGGCAAACATCTGATTTTGTGTCTTTAATAGGCCATTTCTATTTATACCAGTTGAAGTTATTTAATATCTCTTAACTTCAGTTTCCTTACCTGTAAAATGGGACTAGTAAAGGACCCATTGCTTTGGGATTCTCTTATATGACATAATACATGTGCAGTACTTCAGATGTTGCCTACACTCTTTATTACTTTACCTCTGAAAAGTGATTTCTCTGAAGCAGAAATTAAAGTGTGAAGAACTGGAAAGATTTTTAACGCCTAATTTTTTTTCATTAGTAACTTTAACACATTTATGTATTCATGAAGAGGTGCAGCAACAAGAACTGTCACGAATTGCAGTTGTATGTGTAAACTGGGAAATGCTTTGGCAGAAAAAATCATCTAGTAAAGCTGAAAAATACCCTTTCACAGCAAGTCCAGTCCTTGATAATGTCCTGAAGAATACCATGTACACTAGAAAAGATGAACAAAAATGTTCATTGTTCATATTAGCCAAAAGCTAAAAATAACACCAATGTCCACCAGTAACAGAATGAATATATCACTGGATTCAGTGGATGAATCTCCACCGTAATGTTGAGAGGGAAAAAAGCAAAACAAAACATGAAGTATAATTATAACACAGGGCTCAAATACAAGCAAAATTAAATTATATCACATAGGGATGCAGTAGAAAGAAAAAAGGAGAGGATGTTCACAAAAATCAGACTGTAGTTACAAAAATGTTAGGATTATGATCAGGATAGGGCACATGGAGGAAGGGGCTTCTAGGTTACTAGAACTGATTTGTTTCTTGACCTAAGTTATGGTTACATTAGTGTATATTTATTGATTTTTCTATATATAATATTTCATGAAAAAATTACACAAAAATAACTTTATTAGCTTTATCATAAGACAGCAATAGTAAAAACAATAAATGTCCATGGTAACTACGCAAATCTAAACTTAAGCACACTTTGAAATGTCCTTACCATCTTATATTGTGCTCTGCTAAGCTGAAAAAAGTGAATAGACAGTGAAAACTCTAATAGCTATTTTCAGAGAAAAGGCAACCTCTAGGATAGTATTCACCAGTACTACCTGGTATCTGAAAGGAAAAATAATGGTTCTGAATGCAAGCAGTTTATTAAATTCTAGGAAAAACAAAACATGGTTAATTCTTTAAAAAAAAAAAAATCTTAATTCCTTACCCTACTTTATTTTTCTTCATTATACTTAACCACAATCTGATACCATATTTTCATCTGTCTCTCCCACCAGTGGGAAATATGTAAATTCCCTAAGAACACAAGAAGGTTTGTGTTATTTACTGCATATAGCTGGCACTCAGACTTGTGCCCAGCATGTAACAGGTGCTCAATGAGTATTTGTTGAATGAACAAATGGAATTATCTAAGGATACTAAGTAATTAAGAGGGGATTTTGCTGTTAAAAAAAAAAAAAAGGGCATTTGATTGTTCTCTAATGGCAAAGAAAGAGGTCTGGTGAAGCAAATGTTTTATGCAAAACCGAATCCTAATTAGGCAGACATACTCAGAATGGCTATCTTACCAAAAAAGAGCAAACCAACAAAAATATGGTAGTAAAGAGCACTGGTTTTAATAGCACTTGGAATGCAGTAAAGACTTGAGATTTGGAGTATGTTGGGAAATGGAGTCACTACTAGAGGGAAAAAAAAAAAAAAGCATGTTTTCGCCCAAATCCATAAAGTCAGTTATGGTCATTAAATCAGAATCTGAGGGTGGGGTCTAGGAATTAGTATTTCTCAAAAGCTACCTAGGTGTTTCTAGTATGTGACGAGGTTTAAAAACTAAACTAACTCAGGTTCTGAACTAGTCTGACCCCACTTAATTCCAGCCCCTTCACCGACTTGTGAGTGCTGGAATAATTGTGTGACACAAGAGTGGCATCACAAGTTTTTTGAGAAAATATCTCCCTTATATTTACACATTTCAACAATGTGACTCCCTCTGAGACAATTTAGGTAACATTGCCTTTACCAAGAATCTGAAGAGATGAGCACTGAGGTGAATACCGAGATTATTTTTGGACTGCCCTTGTTAAAATAGTCACTTGGAAAACAAGGAAGCTCAAGCCTCTTCAACTTAGTACTCTCCTTAAGAGTAAATACAGATTTATCCATGGGAGGTATAATCAGTGTTAACCCAGAGATCTGTCTGTAATTTAATGAAGGGATTGGTCTAGGCTCACTTTGACCAGAGTCCCTTTTAAAAGAATTAAAAGGGACCAAGTCTCAGGAGACTACGTAGTGGGGGTTGGTGGAAGCTCTGAGCATATGCTTTAAGACCACCAAAGTTCTCCTGACAAATAGTGGGTGGAAATTTCAGATATTCTTTAAAAATCTCTTTTGGACTGCTTGTATTTCCTTTTTTTTTTTTTTTTTTTTTTAAGGGATGTCTCAAAGGTTAAACCTAGAACAAACAAGACCAAGTCCATGGTCTGCACTCCAAAGCAAGGATAAGAAGCACTACACTCTCTAACCTTTGCCTTTTTACTCAAAGCTACAATTCCCAGCTCCCCCCCCGCCCCTTGCACCTTCACCTCAGGTTTGGTTCCATGTGCCATCCTAATGGCAAAAACAAACGAATACCAGATAATCTTTTACAATACATTTGTCACCACATACTAGGTGGAAACCATTCTGGTCTGAGAAACGAAACAAATCCTCATGGAAAGTCTGTATGATCTCAGATTAAAGTCTGTGTTTCAGATTCTTACTACCAAAATCACTCCTCTATGCTATTCCAAGATTTCTCTAAATTTGTATGTGGGAACAGCACATATCAATACAGGTACCAATTATAAACCTCTAAAATACCTGATGGATGCTTCCCAAATACTTGACACTTCCTCTCTGCTTTAAAATAGTGCACTTATTTTCTTTGGTCAAATATAAGAGTGATATATATAAAATGATATGAAAACAGGCACTACAAAAAGCCACTGGTCTAATGCTTCCTCTTGACATAACTGCCCAAATCTACTGGCCTGAGTAACATAAGGTAGCATCTCAACAGCCTACTCAGGGCTGAATCACTGCTGCAGAGCAGGCACTCTGGACTGATGAAAGAGCTTACTTACCCTATAATGAAGATGAAGAAGATAGACTTGCTCAGAGTCACATGCAAATCAGTGAACAAACCAACTGGCCGATATTTGGTTCAATTGTAAAGTCAGTGGTACGGCACCTGGGTGGCTCAGTTGATTAAACGGCTGCCTTCGGCTCAGGTCGTGATCCTGGGGTCCTGGGATCGGGCCCGAATCAGGCTCTTTGCTCCATGGGGAGCTTGCTTCTCCCTCTCCCTCTGCCTGCCTGCTGCTCCCCGTGCTTGTGCTCTCTCTCTCACTCTCCCTATCTCTGTGTCAAATAAATAAATAAAAAATCTTTAAAAAAAAAAATTAAAAAAATAAAAAAAGAAAGTCAATGGTAATTTGTACTGAATACCATGTTCTTAACTGGTTTACATGGCTTCTTCTAAGTTTTAAATGAATTTTAGTTTGTTTTCAGTTAAAGAAATTTTCTATTTGTCATTATGAGGAACAGGTCAAAGGGAACATTATACCAGTATATTTTTTGTGACTATATTTTCATTCATAAGAACATAATGTTAAGTTCTCCCCACAACAACTGGGGGCCATAGTGGGGAGGCTGGACAGATTACCCAGTAATAGCAACAGCCAAGAATTATTGAGCACATGGGGTGTG